GGTTAAATATGAGAAGTTATGTTGGAGTATCTTCTACACCTGTCTAGCTGAGCGCTGCCGTAGCTGCTGTGCAAGAAGGCGTCCAGCCCTCTCTCTCACCATGCTCATAGTAGCCATACCTAGATTTGGATATTAAATATTCGGCCTGTTGGGTAGATAAGATGTTAAACTCTGTTTGGAGTAATGTACGTTTCTTAAGTGAGTCTTGTGTAAAAGCATGGCAGCATTCCCTGTCTAATTGTAAAATCTGATCTGTCAGCGATTTTAGCCGTTCGATGTCACTAAGAAAGTATTTAAACAACATTAATTTAAAATGCACGTCATTTAATAAAATGAACCAATAAAAAACATGGTTGTTTTTTTCTGGACAAATTCTTTATAAATTTATTTAATGTTTGATTAAAGGTAGACTGAAGCAATCATATTTAAAATTATTGTTAATTTGTTATTTAAATTTCAAATTGGTCAGCAAAAGCAAAAAAAATGTTGTTTTTTGATCCTTTCCTGTAATCAAATCAAAACTGGGTGTGCCTTAATAGACTTTAGAAAAATCTGTTTATTTCATGACTGGCAGGAAAAAATGCATCAAAGCAAGAAAGAGCTGCAGATTTAAGATGAAATGGTAGAAAACATTGTTTTTCTCCTTAAATGTGGATGGCAGATTGACAAACAGAATCACTGTATCTTTATTAAGCTTATATTTGATGGAAAGAATTTGTTTATCTGGAGTTAAAAGGAGGGCACAAATGATGAATAMTGGAAATCAGGACAGAAAAAGGTTTTAATAAAACATATAATAATGCCATCACAGGAGAAAATAAGAACTGAAATCAGTTTTTTGCTTAAATTCACAAACTGACAGAAGGATTTGGTGTTGCTTTACAGAAACATATTTTTAGAGATAAATAGTTGATAAGGCAAAGTGAGACGGAAAAACTGAGCAAAGACAGAAAGTAAAGGTACTGCAGAACAGAAGTGAGTCAGAAAAAAATCCAGATCTTCACACAGACAAACTGAACAACCTGTGCTATCATATGTGTTTGTAGTTTTAAACTGAAAGCCTTTGTGATGAACTGTTCCTTGTTGTTTTTTTAACTGTTTCAGTGTTTTGTGCAACAAGAGGTTAACACTGATGTTACAGAAGAAGTTCAAAAACAGTTACAGGTGAGTCAGATGAAAGAACCAGTCGGCTGTAGCTCCGCCTCAGTTACCACAGCAACCAAGATCATTTGACTTCCTGCTTCCATGTCTGCTGTTATCTCTGTGAAGTTTCGCTTTAATAAAACAACAACAACAAAAAGACTCAGCTTTCTGATTTGTTTAGCTTGTAGCTGTGCAAAACCTTAAACTAATGTTCCGAACCAAGTTACCTCAGCTTTGATAACACACCTCACTGTTTTTATT